ATAGAATGACTTTCTCATTAATATTGTCTTGTCCAGTCAGATTTTTAAAAATTCTCTGATTTCTCAACACAGGTATTAAGCCACAATGTTTCAGCTATAATTAATGTTGATTCTTATTGTATTTTCATTTTGACATTCATTTTGAATTTAATTCAATCAATATGAAGCCTTTTGACCAGCGCTAGTGAACATCAATATAAACAAGGATGCTTTAAAAATATTGATGTAGAATCTGAACTCAAATGTATTATTAATCAGCTATGCATACTTCATCCCTGTAAACTCCTCTTTAATTAATGCAAAAATCTACATAGTATTTTTTATTGTTAATATTTTGTTATACCAATTGGTGTATAAACAAACTACATAAATACTTTAATAATTCCTTTACAATACATATCTTAACATAGCAGATTTCACCCAGAAAAAAATATTACAAGGACAAACATCCAGGTATAATCAAATCAAATTTTAACTACTTCAAAAGATTCCTCATTAAAATCTGAATTATGTGGCATTCTATTTAACATGGAAAGTCCTGAGGAAACTGATGACTTAAGGCTAGGAAAAAGGAATTTTTAGCAAAGAATTAAAAGGAACACTTCAATATGCAGTAGAAAATGGTTAAGTGCTCCACTTTAATAAAGAAGTTATTTTGGGGAAGGGGATGTAACTTTTACTGAATCTATCTGGAGTCTAGATTCTGGACAAAGAAGTGTTTCATTATTGTAATTATACAGATAGTTCAGACAAATCTTTTATGAGACAGGCAGAGTGTAAGGTTGGCATGGTTTCCTGCTTGGATTATTTACATGATCTGTCTTTGTTGGTAAAATTATTGGAAGAAATTGCTCAAGCTTACATTTGACTTCTTTTAGAAAATCATCTTTGAATGGGCCTGTAATCTACTTGGGTCAACTTGGTTATGAAATTTCAATTGGAATATCATTAACAAAGAATATTTTAAATCACTTTGGAAATCAGTGCTTCAATGGGGAAGAAAAATCAGATGATTTGATTTAGGTATCCCCAAATCAGTGGGCCATACACTTCACTGTATTCAAGAGTTCTTTTCTGCTAATTATCAACTTTGCCTTCAGAGATATTTCCCCTTACTATCAGGTTAGGAAAGCCTTTGATGTTTATTTTGAAGAACTCACTTGACGTAAGTTAATACTTCAATTAACTAAGATTGTATTGTTAAGTTTTAAAATTTCCTGCACAATAGAGCTCTCAAATTGTCTAAGATTTCATTCAAGATTATTCCATCCTGTCAAAAATTCCATACCTTTTTTTACATATAAAATGAACACAGACTATTTTCTGAGACATATATAAAATACTAATTTCTACTTATTTAAAAAGTAATAACTCACCAAATTGGTAACTAAAAGAAGGTAGAAAATAATTTTAAGAAAATACACTTACATTTTTCTCTTTTTGCAGAAAATTGAAATACTCTAAATGTCCTTTCAGAATATACTAGGCAGTAAGGTTTGAGACATTCCTTGTGTATATATCCTTTCAGATTTCTATAGGTACTTAATTAAAATCCTATAATAATATGTCACACACAGCCCATTCTCATATTATCACAAGCAACATTTTATAATTTCTTTTGTTAATCCTGACTCTAAAAATTCTTATATTAATATTGCAAATTTGAGACAATCCCTGAAATGATATAAGAAATTCCTTTAAAAAGGCCTCCTTGAGTTTTAAACAAATAAAGAAGAGGTCTTCTTAGAAGAGGAAACTTAGAGAATTAGCTAGCTTAGATTTTAAGATTGCATGTGCTCCTTATAGAGGAAAGATGCAATGAATAAAGTGGGAACAAAGATGTATGTTATGTGTGTATGGCTTTTTTCCCACAAGGTGGTGATTAAACTAAATAGAATTCTGCATAATGGACACATAAAATATCAATAAATGCCAAGCACAGATAACCCCCATTAAAAATAAAGCAAAGGAACATAGCCATAGATGATGTTTTAAAAACCAAAGAACTTCGAAAGCACCCAAGGAAAGTATTGAGGGGAACTTTGCTGTTAAGTGTAATGAATAAAATGATATACACTATCTCTTTTTCATGGAAACCATGATAGCCACCCAAACAACAATATAAACCAACAAAAACCATCCACCATTTAACTTATTCCTATGCAATGCAGTTTAAAGAAATTGTCCATTAAAGGAAATTTTCAAAGGCCAAGTTTGAAGAAGCCGATACAGTGCTTTACATTAAATTCCCAACATCTTCCCTTCACATCAAGCCATAGCCCTTAACTTCTTCTGTTTTACCATTTTGTAAACATTTCCACACTATGGCCCATAGATAGATTAACAGAGATACTCTTCTTTTTCTTCCTCCTCTCACACAGCCCATTTCATTTAGAAAATAAGCAGAAGTTCTTGCAAGAAACTCTTCGTAGAACTGACTGACCTTATCTTGCATTAAAGAGAAAAGCAGTTACCTTCTCACCGACTTGAGATACTTGAGATTTTCCTTCTCCGTGAAAGTCATGCTAAGACACTTGGCACGCATCTGGTACAATGACAGGCTCATTCTACTTTATGAAAGTATTTAACGTAAGACTGGAAAGAGTTTATGCACATGCCTATTCTTTCTGAGCAAGGAGAAAGCATGCTAAAAAGATAAGCTTTAACAACAGTAACACTTTCAAACCGACTTTGGTATTCTTGGCAGTTACACACCACCCATGGCTGTCCAAAGAGCCACGCAGGCGCACGCGTGTACACACACACAAACACACACACACAAAGAACAGTTCTCACTCTCTCTCCCTCCCTAAGCACAGACCTGGGAGATAGTCATGAACTAGAGGGAAGCAAAGAGAAACTTAGTCTCCCTCCACCTGCTGCCTGAAGTGGGGGTGCTTTTGGCTGACTGGTAGGCAGAAGCCTGAGAAATGGCCTCAGCAGCAGCCTGCCAACATCCTTAAGAAAAATAAACAAACACATACCAACTAGCTCCCCACCCCCCACCCAGAGAACTCACATGGCAAGGCTCAAAGCACAACAGCCCAATTCCCATTAGCCCAGACAATCCCATTAACCGGGACAACCATACATTCATAAACCACTACAGCCCCCAGCAAGCATTGTGGTCTGCAACTGTACAGACACAGAGGAAATTTGCACCTGTCTTTCTTGACACAACACACCTGTCAGGCCCTGCCCATGCGCACTCTGCTAATAGACTTCTGCCTACCTAGTTTAGGAAAGGAAATGATTTTTTTTTTTTTTTAAATAAGGGAGGGTATGGGTGGAAGAGAGAGAGAGAACAAGAGGAGAGACTCTTCTAGCCTTGACTTTGAGAGGCCACCCTGTGCTTGCTCTGTTTTTATAAGCTCAAGGAGACAACACAGACGTTCTTGGAAAAATAAAAACAAGCAGGTGAGTTCTCAGCCTTCCCCCAGGCGGAGTAGGGTTCTGGGTTGCCAAGAACAGCAGTTTCACACTCCAACCTGCCTCCTTGGGCTATTTAAAACTCTCGCCCAACCCCTCCTCCTAGCTCTGCTCTCTGTCTGCCGGAGGGCTCTCAACTTCCTAAGAAGCTAGGAAGGGGCCTGGAGACCTGGGAGTCGGGGGAAAGCTATTCCCCCTCAACACCCCCATCACTCTTTCCACCAACGTTCAGTTTCAGCAGGAGGAGAAACCGGCTGGCACACCAGAAGAGCCAATAACTTGCTAAACTGGACTTTGGGTGATGTCTGCCACCGCCCCACCTCCGGTGCGTCCCCCTCCTGGTCTGCTCAGACAAGATAGCCGAAGCTCTACCCCATCTTCCCGCCCTCCTCACTACCCTTCCCAGTAACAATTACTCTCACCTCTCCTCTCCACCCTCCTC